TTTTTGGGTAGCTGAGGTTATTCGGGGCTCAACCCTCGTGTGTGGTACGGACACTCACAGGGCGCAAAAAGTGCAGAGACGCTGATAGGTAAGGATTAGCATATGCAATTAGTAAAGTACAAGGATAGTTGATCGGACACCATAGACCAGTAAGGAGAGGCGCAGGTAATGCTAGATGGAATAATGGGACATGAACTGACCGGTAGTCTGATTCCAAACGAGTACACGCGATAGCAAGTTCAACCAGTTCACGCGGAGCGTCCTCTGGCACATGGGTTTTGAGGAATTTGTTCATGTCGATGGATAGGGTGGAGGAGCTGCGTTCAAGAACATCCGGATCAGCATCGACCCGACCAATTAATTGGCAGAGTATCACGCCGAAGGAGTAGATGTCCACCGATTCATCGTAAGGCTTCAAGGAAAACATCTCTGGAGCCATCCAAAAGGGACTTCCAAGCTGTTTTGGTGAGACAGAAAAGCGGTAGATGGGGGAGGGGTTACTTCAGAAACCCTGGACACTGAGACAGGAAATAGGTGTGCGTACTGCCTCAACCACGGTTAGTGAGTACGTGGGAATCCACGTGCTCTGAAAAAAGATGACGTACAAAAACCAAGCTCGTTTATTTGTGAACCTATGAGGTCGGCTGTTAGCCAGACAGCCGAAGCCTGCCGAACCCCATTTTACGCACTTTGCCGTGGGGCAGGAAAAAAGCTTCTGGATATCGATTGAGGTCACAATTCTCACTAGAGTTTATCTAGGCGGTTCCTTTAGGCTCCGAGCAGCCAGCCTCTAATACCAATAGATAAGCAACGGTCCCTGGAGCCCATGTGGGCGGTGGATATTTACTGAACGTCTCGATAACGTAAAAAGGAGTAGACATTGGGTAGACAGACGGGTATGTCTGACCCATTGCCTCTCACCAAAAGTCCATCCGCTAAGCCCAGACAAAGAATATTTTATATTTAGACTAGGGTTAGTTAGAGCGAGTTTAAGAAAAATATAACTGTTTTAGCCTAGGTTTACCCTCCCACGGCTGCGATTGTGGCGTGTAGGGAAATTTGGGATGGACTCGCTACTTCGCGTAAGGTTATCGCTGGAGGACCACGACTAACATCATGAAAAACACACTCAATCACCTGCTGTAGATAGTCGGTAACAGACCGCTTTAGTGTAGCGTGCCAACTTATGGTAACAAACTTAAATTTCACCAACCATGCACCAGGATCCTTTTTCGTTCGCTTTTCAGTAATGTGAAAATGGCGACAAACTGAGAAAGTGAGTAGACCATAATTATCGCATTTTAACTGCGGGCCACTGCAGGGAAACTTGTGCACTGGATAACTCAAGGCTGGAACCATTTATCATCAGATGAGTTCATCTCTCATAAGCTCCAGATAGCTTCGCCTGACATTTTACATTGGGTTCCTAGCTGGTGCGAAAGCTGGCCATGCGAACGGTTCAACTTATGTATGATCTGCATGAGACCCCGCACCCATTGTCCTTCTAATCTATGGCAACAAAAGTTAAGAAATCTTGCCCAAAAGTAAAATGAATACAGTGAAGATCCACCGTTGCTTCGATTAAAACTCGTACAGAGGAATGCCAGTAAGTGTACACCACTAAAGTCAGCTATTTACACTGCAAATGCGAAAACGAATGGATCCACCCAATGATGTCATAATGGATGAATCAACACTCAAACTTGACGACCACTAAAGATCACATTGAGTATTAAATTAAAGAGTGCTAATTCTTAAAGTGCTTCTCAGGAGCTGACATATTTTTAGCTCGGGAACGCTTTAGCAATCTGTGTAGTTCAAAAGTCAGGCGAGAGGAATACTTCCTGGGACCAACATTTCACTTAAGATCCTGACCTGCCGGATATTTCGTCCGTCCGTTTATTCCTGTAGTTATTGTTGTAACGGAAGCATCCGTTACAACAGTTATGACACGCCCTGTATTTTTTTCTGGCGTTAGGTGCATTTGCAGGATCCTTAAATGCAATAGGAGTCATGAAGCGAAGAATGGGCAGATGATACCTTTCCTAATCAAAACCGGTTGGATGACTAAACAGCTTGGTTAAATCAAATCAAATCTCGGCAAAAGTACCTTATTTAGCCCCACTCATATACCCCTAGTCCCAGCATGTTGTCCTGCAAAAACGGTGGTTATAGAGTTTTGTGGGGTGGGGAAGTAGGATAGGCATAGAAAGAATTTTTTAGAATTAAGCGTAAAGTGAAAAAAATGTAGTCGAAGTTGCTTCCCGCGGCCGCTAGGAGCAGGTTGTTTCCGCATGTAAATTGAAGGTGTGCGCGGCGCTTAGCGCCGCGGACTATACTAATCTTACTCCAGAATGGTAAGTTGGACCAAATATAAGTTGAAGTAGACGACCTCCTAACCACCATTTTCAATTTTTTCGGGAAATTCAAGAAACCCGCAATTAAATAATCGGGTTTTTCCGCAATAAGTTAAATGAGAATACATATTACGAAAATCTACAGTTATAAATCAACAACACTTCTAAATACGGTAAAATAAAAATGCATTTCGCTTTTATTAAAGTATATTCCACGGTGTGTCCTAATTTCCCGCCCATAAAACCCCCACCGTTTTCGTAGGAAAAAATGCAGGTTGTAGGGATTAATGAGTGGGGCTATATAAGCTACTGTTGCCCAAATCTCGATTGTAGGCAAAAGAAGCCGGGGCGGCCGGATGGAACTCCATTATCCTACCAATGTTAGATAAAAAAGGGTGAACACGGTAGGAAAAGCAAAGATCGTTATCATTTTCTGCATGCGTGGCCTCTGGGGAAGAGTTTAAACGGTTCGAAATTATAAACCACGTGAAAAACGGAGGCAGGCTCCTGCGGAAATAATTCAGCGACCATAGATCGGTTTCACCTACAGTTCCGTTTTTTTTAAACAGCAGCCAATTAACGTTCGGTGAAATCCTACTTTGGGTCCCAGAAATTATTTAAATAATCTAATGTTTTCGCAACAAAACAGCGCGCCGTAAATAAACACAGCAATTTACTTACATTTCTTACTTGCTTCTAGAGTATTGGCTGTGACAAACTTGGGCATTTTTTATTTGCTTATACTTTATAGTTTATCGGGTTTCTTAATATGCCTGAAAAAAATTGGTGGTTAGCAGGTCGTTTACTTTAACTTACCTGGAGTTCAATTTACCGTTCTGGAGTTAGATTAGTAGATTAGCGCCGCGCACACCTTCAGTTTACATGCGCAACAACTTTACGTTAGTTTATTTTATCTGGCTCATTTAAATTATAGATATTTAAGTTCCTTTTAAAGGTTACAGTTCATTTTTATTTTTATTTTAGCTTTAGATTATTTTTAGTTAAGTAAGTTTAGCTTACTCAGTTTTAAGTTTTTTAGTTTGTTTATTTTAGTTGTAACTTATTTTTCAATTTAGTTATTTCCCAATATTTGCATAATTGCACATTTTAATTATGGTGCACTTTTCTTAGGAAAAACATTAACTTATTTAAATAATTATTTCTGCTTTTTCTACTTTTATTAACTTAATTTTATAATTTAT